TTTACTTGTGATCAAAATAGTTCACTGGTAACATCTTGAACTTTAAATTTGTGTAACTTAAGCTCGGATCCCATAATGACCATTAGTTCCTTCAATAGTTCAGGTACGCCCACGTTATGAGTTCCAACTTGCACAAAACTTAAATCTATGGTTTACTTCCAGCTACCTTCAAACACAATACAGAACACATCGTTGGTCGTATGTGAGAAAATTAGAATACCTCACTTTTCAAATAAACTATGAAGAACTATGGGTGACTGTCAAAACATAACAGACAACTCAGTAACAGGCCACTCATCAGATTAAACCTGGAACCATCACTTTCTTACGAAAAACACGATTATCAATCAATATCAGCTATTTTCTTCTTTGAACGAAATCATTGCTAATTGTTTAAAGCATTTATGAATCTGAAAACAGGTACATGTAGTGGCTGTCGGTCATCATATTTAATTGAAGGATTTTTGTGGAGGTTGTTTTAATTTGTAGATTGTATAATACAGAATGTATTTCATGTATGGTTCTCATACTTTACGGAGACATTCTGTAATTTTGTGTTAAATGCATTGATTTTCTCTACCTGTGTGTTCGTTCACCACGGTAACATCGAAACCCAGAGGCAACCGGACGGCTGTTTTGTCCTAGTATGACGCTCCCCAGAAGTGTGCACCCACAACCACTACAGGATTTAGAGCTAGGATCTCCGGGTTTCCTGGAACACGTTTAACTACTGTAACCATTGGTTTGGCATCCAATAGTAAAATCTCTACTTCAGTGAATTTGAGATAGAGAGTAACGATCAACCAGTGTCATCGGTGACAAATGCTTCACTTCCGACTAGTAAAAAATCTCAAGATTGTAGAAACACACTGATGAGAAGCCCCGTGTAAGGACGAAACAGTCGTTCAATGCTCCGTGGTTTTTAATAGTACACCAATTGAGTTAATCTATAACAAGTAGACCCAAAAATCACTATTTTTATTTAATGAACGTGAATTTTTAATTGTTTCACATACAGTTGATTACCTATGTATGTTTGCAGGTTAATCACCGACCCTTATATCCATCTCTCAACAAATAAGAACAGTCAAAAAAATGTAATTCAAAATTTCACTTGTATTTTATTTGAGTGCTAGAGAGACATGAGAAATAAATAATCTGAAAACCTGATTAATATACTCAATCACCAAATAAGGCAATATGGATCAAAAACAGAGAAACATATATAACTAAACTTTCATATTGATTATCAACTAAAACTTACCCATAGAAAATTGTGTACAACGTCCAAAAATTGCATAGAACAAGGGACTTAAAAAACCAATATACAATCCATAAACAGGTGGTAAACCAGCGAGTAGTGAATATGCCATACCTGAAATTTTAAAAAGAACACAATATTCTACTATCCTACCCCTCCTACATCATGTTTATTATTAGAAAGCATGGAATAAATACTAGTAGAAAAAATATACTTTCCAATATATTTAGCGTGTTGCTAGCGTTGGAATTTATCAACTTGGTGTACCCGCACCTCAATATTGATGTTCACATAAACTTCGAGTCAGTACATTTTACTTTAAACTAACACGTTATTCATTGTTCATTTGAAGTCCTGAATATTAAAAACAGGAAATTACAAGTCTTTATACATATTTTTGCCTGTAACATGAAAGGGGTACAAATAGGTCATTGATTTTTCTTGACATGTTCGTTTCCTTGTTCAGATCTTTACTAAATCATATTGATACATGTTTAAATCAACTTCCATGCAAGATCTACGCAACTGGTGAAAACTTAACAAAATAAATCAAATTCACGTTGATCTGCTCAAATAGTTGTTCTTACTCTTTTCATATCGGCAAAATATTAGAGTTACTTAGTCTGAATTTTAGAACCGTCAGCAGTGCACACGGACGACCTTACATACATATATTGATCTTATTTGAGGTATCATAGAAAACTAAGGAGCATCGGATAGTCGTTTCATTTTGATATTAAGTTCACAGTAAAGCGCATCTGTGACCTCTCCGGAGACCGAACCCATGAGTGTTCCTTCACTACAAATATATCACACTGGACCATCATAACCAACTGCGATTATTAGTTGATATGTAAATTTCATCATATTTTTGTAGCAGTAAGTAATCCCCTTGAAGAACACTCATAAATGATTCATACAGAGAATTAGAGTATCTGGCTACACATACGCTTAAAATAATCTATCATAAAATATATCAGTGAGACGAATCGGATGGTTGATATGAATGGCTCTTTTAAATTGTTATTCAACACTCCCCATGTAAAATGTATATAAATAAATTTATTGTATTCTTAATACTGTATAACAATAAATTAGAATTATTAGTAGCTCAGATTTAGTTGTAATTGTACTACAGTCTTCATTCTATCGATTTTCATGATTATTTGGATTGTCAGTCTGATTAATTCGTTTGACCTTATTTTTTATATATTCGTGATTTTTTCATTAGATATTACGAAGACAGGTTATTAGTTTATGAATTAGACTGTACAGAATTTATTGTATACTAATAATACTGATTTGTTGTCATGATAATCATACAGTGAATCACTTAGAAACTGTTAACTTCAGTCTAACATGATTAGATTAAAAACTCTTGGCTAAATTATTACTAGTAATCAATAAGTTTCGAGAAAAGTTTGTCCACAATTCAAAAGTATTTCATACTACGTCGAAACACTTTAAAACGTCCACTATTTCTGAGAATGATATGAATGAGAATAAACTGGCAATAAGCACCTTTTTTTCTTTCGATTAAAACAAAACCACCTCACTATTTTTTACCATAGATAAATACGCTGTGTCGTTGATTAGATTCAAACTCTATACTGTTGTACAGACAATAAATGATTTTTATTAAACCAATTTGCTACATGAACTTGGAACAAATACAAAACCTACGTTTTCGCACGTAAGTGAGGGTACTTTGTTTCTGTATCTAACAACGGTGAGCTATCAACCTCACACATTAAAGTATGGCTATAAATTATCTTATACTATATTTTTATATCCTAAACTATTTCTTTATTCCTACACTGAGTGCATATTTTAACAGCTGCCGTCTACGCGATTTCGGAGCATTCATTCATATACTATGGGAACGAGATTCAAACCACTGCTACGAATGGCTCAATTACGACACTCAACGACTCTAAGGCATGAGTATCAAGATAAGAGCTTAAAAACCTGTATTTCTGGGTTTATAAAGAGCTACAATCAGCAGATATTTTGTTTACTATATAACAGACTCTAAAGTACAGAAGCCTTTACCACTAATGTGAACAAATTCTAAATATATGTAATATGTAACATTAGAACGTGAGTCAGTCTCTCTTATCATTAGAAAATAATTACACCATTTATACTACAATACGCCAGCATTATTCAAATAACTTATTGTAATAAATGAAATCTGAAGTACAATTTGCTCTGACCAACCATTCACATCAGACATAAAATCTTCGTAGTTTTTAGATATAAATTAGTGACCGAATAAGGAAAGATTACTTATATCTTTTTACGGTTCAAAACTATTTACAGACTAAAGCACAATCCACTAATACGTTAAAAGTGAATCCCTCGATCTACTTAGGAATTCTCTTAGAATTTACTAGATTCTTAGTTTACTAAAGAAACATACTATAACTGTAAAAGATACAGCACAACTTGTTTTGGTTAAATACCAACAAAAATAGTTGACCCATTAAAGCTATTAATAATAACAAATGATGCCGACGTAACACATTACATATATCATATGGCTTATCTTAACGAAAAGCATAAAATGAAGTACGAATGAATTGTATTGTAATATCGTTTCTCTCCTGTAACCAACCTTCTATCAAAAATAGATCAAATATAAGGTTATGCGTGTTTTAATAAAACGATTATTCACGCTTTCAATACTTGACGCATGATTGGGAAGTTCATTCGAAAATATTTGAATTCAGAATTAGTAAGGTTTAAGTCACCTAACTGACTAACAATTAGAAAATTTTGATGTGTTGCAATTCGGTTCATCTTTAAGTGTCATCCTTAATTTTTGTTCCAGAAGAAACAATGGCTCGTTTATCCAACAGCGATCATCAATAAGTTGAATTTTTGATTTTCAGTAATTTCATCAGTTATTTGGCCAAAAACTCCGTGATCAGTTCACTGTTGTGATATAGAATTTGAAAGTCTTTTTTCTGTCCTTAAAAAGCATCTGACGTGTAAACCAAAACGACGATTAAAAATGAAATGAAGTAGTAACTCAAAATTTCGAGATTACAATTAAATATGACGAGTAAGATCTTTGAGATTGAATTAACTGGAAGAAATATGACTAAGTCTCTTACTTACGCTCATATCATATAGAAATAAAAGATTATACTTGCCTTGTGGGATATTCATAACGCCTATTGTCAAACCACCGGAGATATCTTTCAAAAAATCTGACCGCCAATTATAATGTGTCAAAATATCAATACATGGAAATATAGACTTGATAAAGTATATCGAATATGATTTCCATTGTTGTTTACTACAACATGATAATGATTTTAAACAACAATGACTTTTCTTAATGCTTGAGTTAGTATGTTTAGACATTAGTGAATCCCAATCTGCAATCGGTCGACTGAATGTGATACGTCCTAAGTGAACATTTGTCACAAATTTGTTTTCATGCATAGTTCCATTTAAATTTAGTGATTTACAATGAGTCTCATCATTATTAACTGCGACATAGCTTGACATTGCACAGAAATGAATTAAGTCACGTTATATCAATTACTCTTATTATTACTATTATTTCTAGCTTATATATAATCTATTGAAATGACTGATAAAATCTTATTAGGTGATTTGTAGTCATCAATAATTCAATCATTACCATTACTTAGTGTACACACATAAACATACGTAAACGGACATAATTCCATAACTTAGTGCAAATGTGAAACGAATACGAACCAGTGGCAATTCTAAATTCACATGGTAATTAGTAATATGCGCATGCAATGAGCGTACGATATTCAATAAAATAGACGAAAACACAAAAACCGAAGCACAAAAGTAAAAAAAAAATAACAAATCGAGCAAAAATAGATTTTGGAAAAACAAAATGATACACAGGTAATATTAAGAATTTTTTTCACCAAAAAGTGGAGTCAATTTACATGGGTAAAACATGAAGCAAATTCCACCGTTTTCGTGAAATCATCATCAGCATTCTATATATATTCACAAAAACTAGATTCAAATACTTCCGTGTATGTATTCATGTTAAAGTTTATATCAATGCAGAAATATTCAAACCACTGCATTCACTGAACTAATACAACAAGGGGACGGTGCAGTAAAAACAGTGACTATAACAAATATATCAATCGGCCTTTGTCTTAGAGGGATTGTGGAATATTTAGAAGTATGAAGATGTTTATAACTACAATTTCAAAGCATCTGAAAGAAGAGAGCGAACATCTCGTTCACTAATTCGATTCGATGATATATGATCCGCAATGGATAAACTGAGATCCGAGGTAGTTGGTTTCCAATTACCAAGGACTTTGAAAACATTTCCATTATCTGTTATACCGTCTAGACTGGAACATGGTAAAATATTAGTTGCCTTTGATTTTCTATTCCGGGAACTAACACGAGTAGTGTATTCAGATTCCTCGGTCCGTTCTATGTTGTATTCAGATACGCAACCTGTTACATTCTGTTCCATTTGTAATTTCTCAGATGCAATACGCAGCATACCCTCTTCTAAAGTACCTTCAGAGATTAGTCGTATGACGTGAACAGGGCTAGAAAATTAAAACATGGCAGTTTATTAGTACAAAAAAAATAAAAAGCAGACATTTAAATGTCATAGTATGATATCGTTCAATGAAAAAGTGGAATATACCTTGCAGATATAACTACGTATTTTAAAAATCACATAACATAATCATTATCCATCACCGATAATTTCTAAAACACTAGTGAAATTCAAAGCGATTTAAGCACATTAACCAACATGAACTGATATTCATACTCTATATTGAGAAACATATAAAAATTTGTCACATTCAATTGAGATCAGTATACCTAATAATCCCAATGTAATGATTAAGTCTTTGGTATTTTTACTGGATCCAATTGATTAAATAAGCTAAGGTGAATACTTCAAAGAGTGATATCATCTGTTTGGCATTTTAATTTAATATATTTTGGTAATGGCAACCTGTTTTAAACTTTCAGGGAACCTATTTTCAAAGTGCATGGTCATTGAAACAAGTTTTTCCGCTTTCCATGTTTTTAATGCATTACTTATGCATGTAAATCTTAAAACGTACTTATCATGCACTTAAATCCTATACAGTTTACGATGATACTCAATAATATATAACATACAAGTGGAAACATTAATAGTTGACATATTCTTTGGAAAAAAAGAGAACGTATTTGGATCTATGCACAAAACGTATTATGCGGTGCGGTAACGGATAAAAACAGTTAAAAATGAATGGCAGATAAACATTGTGATTTGAAGAGCTACAAATGGCTTGTATGTTAAAGTTGAACTTACACGAATGGGGTATATTTTATGCTGAGAATTCTTTACTGTAACCAAGTATATGGCACTGAATTAACCAACTATCAATCTTAAAATTCAAAGCCGATTGTCGTAATCAATAACGAGGCTAAAAGTGTTGTGCAATGACCAATGACATTAACAAACATTTTAAAGCAAAGATGTGGAGAAATGTAGTTCTTAATAATGAAAAAAAAACATAAAATATGCGCATGATATAACGTACTTTTTCTGACCAAGTCGATGGCAGCGATCCTCTGCTTGTCTATCATTATATGGATTGAAGTCGATATCATGTATAATTACAGTATCTGCACCAGTTAAACTAATACCTAGGCCACCAGCACGTGTAGATAGTAGAAAAACTTCAATCGATGAGCTGTGTAAAGATGTACAGGATTAAGTGAATTCAAGATACTTAATATAAGTTATAATTTAGATAGAAAAACGTGAGAATCTTAATCGGTGATTTCTTTAATGTAACCAGTTAAGATTTTACTGATATTTCGTAGTGTAAATCTAGAATCTATTTGGTGGCTAGGTGTGGCCAAACTAAAATATAAAAGCAGTCTGTGAAATCATTCAGCTGAGCAGCCGTTGATGAAGGGTGTCTGATTGAAATTATCGTAACCAATAGTTGAAGACTATAGATGATATGGTTCGGAATCAGCAACAGTGGCCCAAATGCATTCACTCATTGTCTTCCTTTGAATTTGGAGTTTGAAAACTATCCTGCAGATTCCTATTCCAAGAATATTTCTTTCTTTTTGGATCCTATCGTTTAGAACTAGACTTTTATTATGGTGATAGTTATTATTTCTACTACTCTGACATTTATATCAATAAGTTCATCGCGCTGTGCTGTGGTGTGGCGACTCATGTGTGCCAGGTTTTACTACGTTGAGCTATAGCTTTAGGTTGAATATTATTTCAGTTGATAGTTAGGTAGATCCCAATCAGATAGCCAAGTTTATTATTATTCTGTTTTCTACATCTCAAAATATCTTTATCAGGACATAAACCTATGCTTTTACGAACCAATTACTTTTGGCTCCGAACCAGATCTTTTTGGCATAATCAAACCCTTTTAATATTTTGTAAATGTAGATGTATGGAAGTTTATTGAGAAATAATTCCCATTTCCAGTAAAAATCTCCCATTTTGGTCAACAAAAAAGAATATTTCGTTTCCTACACATAAGCACTCGATATTTGAGTTAAAAAGGTGTAACACAAATAAAGACCACTCAGTCAAACACAATAAAACTCTGAATCAAGAATTGATAATCTGATTATTGTGAGTTGAACAACAATGTTTTAATACATATAGTGACTGGAATATATATATTCATGAACAAATAATTAAATAGGGATTTTAGTATGTAGATGAGCAGTGCTAATAAAATGTAGACAAACTAATAATAAATATTTACCTGTTGAAACGATCTATTAATGTTTGTCGTTCCGAGACAGGAGTTGATCCATCCATTCGTATATAACGCCTGTTAGTTATCCTTAAAAATTCCTCCAATATATCTAACATGATGACAAATTGACTAAAAATCAAAATACGGTGTCCTTCACAGATTAATTTAGGCAAATTGTCGTTTAACCACTGAATTTTTCCAGATCCAGAGATGATCGATTCAGGGGAGAGAGTATATGGTGATAAAACCTAAGGAATAAGAAATATATCTTTCATTATGTCAAAAGAGACATCGTATTCATTTATTCTTAAATATCAATTTGTATTGACTATATTTATGGGCAAAAGATGTTTGAATTTTTAACACATGTAGTTACAGAGCCAACTAAACTACTTAATTTTTATTCAGTAGCAGTAGACAAGCCCATGTAAAATGAAGCGGGAAGAAAAAGTGAAATTAAAAATCAATAACCATGACATCCATTAAAGCCATTTGATCAATGTGATCTGTTTCAGTAACGCCCTATTTACTTAATAATTTACATAATATTCCTTGAAATGACAAGGCTTATATTATTAAAATAAGTCGAATATTATAGATGAGATAGTGCAACTGCCTTCATTATTGTGAATGATAAATCAAAAAGGTAAGCATACAAAAATCGACTTATTGATGTGCTCATATTCAAGTTGCCGTAGTTAACAAAACCACAGATAGAGGAGAGTCAAGAGAAATTAGATGTTATTACTAACAGGGTTACGAAACAAGAGAATAAATCAAGTTATGAAGTCTTTTAAATTAAGGGGATAATTAGAGAATGGATACTTTAATGTTATTGCACCTAAGTAGTGTTCACTGACATATACATGATTTCAAGGGGGGGGGTAAGTCGGAGAATCTACACCGAAATAAAAAACTGAGATCAATAACCGCAGATTTTATGAACGAATAGTCAAGCATTCGAGGATACAAACTATGTACGACTACGATCGGAGAATAATATCGAAATAAAAAAGACATCAAACCGAAAGGAAATCATCGAGTCCTTCTGGTATTATGATAATCGGACTTCATCGCAACTAAATCAGTTTTGAAGTTCGATATTTAAATTATCTTTGACAACTAAAAATACTGGCTCTAATACTATTTTCAGTAGGTATTGATAAGTCGCAAATCGAACAGTTAGAAATACAATGTAAATCTCAAACAGTAATTTATTCTGTTGTAAATAACTTGTGACAAAATGACTATATCAAGGTAATCCGCAAATGATTCATATACTCCAGCCTGGACTAATCAAAGTTGGGATCTGAACATCAACGAGATAGTTTAAACCCTTATTGATAATTATATAAACAACATAACGGTTGAACGGGTTATTAGTTTTGTGAACTCAGTAGGCCAATAAATAACAGGTCGTCGTTTGGAGAGAAAAGCACCGGGTTCGAAGCCCAACTTAATATCAGCAATGGGATGTAGGTAAATTTACGTGACGAGTTCAAAATACGATGAAATGCACGTCCCTGATTCTACTATTAGACACAAGCCTGCATTATAAATGTTTTATTAGACCCTCAATAAAGATGAAACAAATTTACAGATAACATGTAAACACCTACATTTACAGCAACTTTAGATAGAAGCAAATACGTACAAAGATAGCACGATTGTAAATGATGGGAAGGGACAACGTCAAATGGATAATTGAATGGAAGAAAAGCTCTATGTACATATATGTCAAAAAAATTGTAAGAAAAAATTTGATGTTTATTTTGGACTCAGTGAACACCTATATCAACCTTTTACTTGTTAAGAAGTTATGAGTATTTGTTCTGTATATATTCACATTAGTTTTCGAATAAAATATTAATGAACATTTATCAGTTTACTTGCTTTCGTAGCAGTGATTAGGTCAGTTGTACCATGATGTTCACTTGTAAAACGTCTCCTTGAACATTATTCGGCTCGACTGTCGCAAACTGAACAGAAAATTATAGACAGCTTCACTACAGACCACTTAGTCAACTCAGGGGTCAATCAGACAGTTTTAAAATATATCATAAAATTTTATGACGTTTGATCACGAAATCAGAAAGGATTAAGAATAAAATATAGCACAGCCGGATTATTTAACAAACCAGAAGTTCAATTTAACATTATGCGTAAAAAAAGATATACGTGAGATCGTTATTTATTTACTGTAGCACACTGAAGAATGATTTATTCAAATGTCAATATAAGTTAATTGAAATTTATTCTTATCATGTACTAACCACACTTTTATTTATCTTTCAGTCAAACAATCAATTTATTTCTATTACCGTTAGTCGAATTCAAACTCTGACAGAATAAATATTTCTGAAAATTTCCATAATTTTTTTCTGATATTAATTACCTAAGTATGGATATGAAAGCAAGTTTGTTAAAAAGAGAATTTCCTTCGCCATATTTTTATGTACTGAAAAAATACAGAACTCATAAAACGCTTCATCATATCCATTAATTTACATATGCAACTTCAGTATTTAATTAATAATTGGATAGACTACATTAAAGATAACATGAAGTCATCAATGACTACACTATTCGCACTAATTTTCAATTATGAATTAAGCATAACTGTACATTTTTTTTATAACTACAATCACAAAGGTGAATTCCATCTAAAATTCTGATCAAAGGTGTTAGAAAGAAAACATACATAACCAAAATCTTAAAACTCATATGGTAAAATTAGCTCATTCACCAAGTACGTGAGTATGAACCACAATCAAAGTGTGAAGGATAATGATACTGCCTGGTTGCTTGAATAGCAGTAGGTGGAGCGGTGTTCAAGTTTGGAACTCCATGGCTGAAAGTTGAAAGCCTAAACCAATAAGTTGCTGCTAAAATGAAGATAAATGTTAACTAAGCATTGTTAAGTTACACAATTTATAACATTTTGATCGTCACTTTTATTTCAGATGCTAACAAGTTATTTCATTTACATTCAGATAAGATCGTAAACAGTATACCTTTAGTGGACGAATCTTCCACTGAAAATTCCCACCTAAGAATGAGCATTTACATATATAGTGGATTTCGTATGTTTAGAGCTGAAGGACACAATCAGGGGAAACTTACAACCGATATCAGGATTTATAAAAATCACAATATGTAACATACGGCAAGGTTAAACTCACCTCGTAAAACTGACAAAGTTTATTTATCTGATGATCACTCATTGCAAGTAGGTCTTCATAGATAAGATTGGAATCAGAATTAGAGTGACTTGGATCTAAATGCAAAGATTCTGCAATATCCCGAAGATTTGAATCTGTGTATGCAAGACCAGAAAAAAGGGCCTGGTGATTTGCTGCCTTGCGCAACGCCGTAACCATGTTGCACGGTGACTGGAGAGACTCAGAAATGGATTTAGAAGTGACAGGAAATGATTTCGTTCCATTTACTAAATAGTTAAAATGAAAAGAAATAACTCAATGACTGGTGCGAAATAGCGAATTAAATACAAACAATCTGTTGTTCAAATTATACAAACATCTATTTTAGTAAAGTAAATTACAGTGTTCGCAAGGAAACAGAGACGTGTAGGAACTGGTCGGAGTATGAAAACATCAACTGATTTATGCATGAGAGACCTATGTCAACAAATAGTTGTCGCACGTGCTTTGCAATTCATCTAGTTTCAAAAATATACTAGGACTAAACGGGGAAATGTTTAAACATATCTCTCATTCTACTACTGACAAGTAGTTCGTATAGGCCAGATGAAATTCGAACCCTGTAAAATCAAATCATGATGGAAAAAGGAAATCCCAACTACAGCGAAATGCATCCGTACAGTTTATGAAGAAAGAACGGAAGTAGAACGTCTAAGAATGGTTGATTATGTAATTGTAAGGATTAAAATACATCAAACCAAAGAATTAATTCCTGTGCGAACAAGAGATACAAATGAATATATGAAAAGTTTAACTGATTACCTGTAGTATAATTATCTAAACGGGCTTTTTTTCTTGGTGCACATTCACCTTTTGGATCACTAGCATCTGGATCAGCATTTTCATCACCATCTTCACATTCATTATTTAATAGAAGAGAGGGATCTTGACCATTGCTGTTTGTGTCTTTTAACGATCGCTGAGAACGCAGTCGTTTAACAAGATCGTGGTAGTGAGTAGCTTGGGTCTTCGTCATTGCTACTAAAACTACTTCACTGGTTTTTGGAGGAAGCTGTCCGAGGACCTGAAGCAAAAATAAGCAAAGGGAAATGATGAGAAGACGAGATATATACACATAAGCAACACTATATTCAAATATGGTTTAAGTATATATACAAAAATTGAAACTGCTGATTTTTGTTCATTCCGAATGATAATAAAGCTGTTTTTATAAATAATACTTCCTAGTTATAATCATACAATAATTAATTTTTAACCGGAGAAAAGCTGGGTGCCACTTGGGATCATCATGCGCATAAACGATAATGTGAAATAAAGTGTGATTCACTTAGAACAACAAATAAAGAATGGATTCAAATCATACTACAGATTTGTAAACATAAGAGTCGAAATGTTTGGAAACTAACTTGTGATTTTAATCGTCGCAAACAAAATGGTTGAAGTAAACTTTTAGCTTGAACTAAGCGTTCTTCTTCAAAACTGCTTCGAATAGGAGTGCTATTGGCTGACTGATCTTCCTCACGGGAATTCATGGGTTTCTAAACACAAAAATAATAGGAATGAAGTACCATACAATTCACATCACATAATAAATTAGATGAAAATGTTATAAGCGAGGTACCTAAAGGATAATCTTTTTCATCTTTTAGTACAAATATCAGTAAATGAAGAAAAATAGCACTGATGAATGTATATAACTACCACATTCTACTTTCCATTAGATTCTGGATACATGCGGTAGTTACTCATAAAGATTAGACAAATAATGTAACTAAATTAAAAACATGAACCACTATTAATCAAACATTCGCATCGCTCACGTGACGATTATAATAAATGAGACAAAAATGGTGAAAAGATTGGTATTTTAAATTATTTTCCTTCCGGTGAATAAGACTCGACTATATGGCGAAAAATAGAACAAAGCGAATCCATGAAAATACTGTAATATATTAGTGCTAAAATCTCAGCTGCTCTAAGTTTAATCAAAATATCGGTGAAGTATTGATTGAAATACGGAGTGGGTACATATAAATCAGTCTATGATTCTTATTCTAAGGTAATTCATATCCTCTTAGATTAATCAATGAGGAAAATCAGATTAAACATAAATACAAGCCGAATTATGGATGCGCACTGCTGAGGAGTCCCATACTAGGACAAAACAATCGTCCAGTACTTCCAAATTTTCAATGGCGGTGTAATATTTATTGGTTCATTATCTCAATTAAAACTCAACAATTTCCACAACCCTATGCAGATAATTATTGTGTTCACTAGTGGGTAGCTTTGATAGATAATTCTTGGAGTTTCAGTGAGAAGTTGTGACCAGTGGAGTCCAACCGTATCGAGCGTGAGGCAGTTACCCACAGAAGACAATCGAAAATGGACGCACAATATCATGGATTATTTGTAGTTATTAACACCGTTGGATACAGGCTCAGCGATCTGGATGAAAACATCAAACTGAAGAATATGTCTGTAAGGTGAGTGTTTCGTTGTTAACAGGTATAATCTTTAAACACACATCTGTTAATCTCTTGATCTGAGTAGGTATAAACCGGTGGCTCTTCAGTATTTTGTAAACAGAAGACAGCATGTTATAAATGAATAAATAAGAAAGTTGTACAGCTTACTGAGTAAATCTGAAAAATCCTTTTCAGCAAATCTGTGCTTTTTAGGAACATTTCTGGCATAACAAATGATAACAGAGATACGAGCTCCAACAAGTTGTTTTGAAGAGGTGTGCCTGTAAGAAGTAAACGTCGTTGAACTTTAAAATTCATCAGATTTCGATAACGTTGAGAAGTCATATTTTTTAGCATGTGTGCTTCATCGAAAATCCCATAATGAAAGTTGATGCGTTTCATTAAAGCTCTGTCTTCAATAGCACTTGTACCAACAGCATAGCTAAAATGGAGGGTGGAGAATTTTAACGACTTAAAAATATTGATACATATCATGAAAATGATTATAGGAACGAAAGGTTTAGAATTAACTTTCTGTAAAATAAAAGTTGAAACTAGGTTAGCATCACATACGAAATAGTATGAAATTTTGTTGGTGAAATGAAACACGGTACTTCTTACATAGACGTTAAGTCAACATCACAGTAAAACTAATCTTAATCTAAACACGTTGGTGGAATGATCGTGTCTGGTACAAATACCTAATTGATAAAATCAGTGAAATTGATACTTCTTTAATGTCTAAAGCTAGATTTGATGTCGGATATTATTACTTAAGACAACACTATTTGCTTTTATATCATCCAGATGTTTAAAATATAGGACAGTCCAAAAAATGGAAGAGCTAGAATAAATACTCACCTAGTCAAAAGTATATTAAAATCCGGTTGAGACTCAGATTCATATATTTTCAATCGGATTGCTTTTCGCTGTTCTGCAGATCCTTGATAAACAAGTACTTTTAAGTGAGGACACCAAAGACTTAATTCACGCTGCCAATTATCCTGGGTTGAACTTGGACAAATGATAAGATGTGGTCCGCGATTTCCACTTTCCCAAAGGCTAGCTAGGAAAGCAATAGCTTGAACTGTTTTTCCGAGGCCCATTTCATCTGCTAGTATTCCATTGACTTGTTCGTGGTGTAGTAGACGAAGCCAGTTCAAACCAACAAGTTGGTAGGGTTTTAATTCACGCCTAGGATACATGGAGAAAAAATTTTATGATAAACAGATACAAAAGGCATCATATAATATATTTGGTAAATTTCAGTAGAAACTTTAAGTCATACTTACAAAGGGTTTAAAATAGCGGGCTGTTGAGTCACTAGTTGAACAGGATAACCATTTGTTTTGTTTATAGTGAAGTCATCATGTTCATGATCAACTCCATCAGACTGATTTTGATCAGTGATAGCATTTTCAGGTAAATCTATGGTATTTTCAAGCAAACGTGTCGCATGACTAGCAACTTGTTCAGTTAGACGCTCACACTTATTTAGTAAACGGATAACTGCAGAACGAACTTCTAAAATATCTTTACAACATTCATATAAATTGGAGGAAAGATGGCGAACTCCCGACAGTTGAGAAACCAAGTCTTTCGTATTTTTAAACGGGCGCATATTGATAATAGCCTGTGCGGTTTTCCGAGAACACCCTGGCATCAACGTGAGTTCTTCCAATACGGCATCGTTAAAAAAGGATAGAAGGTGACGGCGTTCTTCATTAGTTAGATCAAGACCCTATAAAAAAATTAGAAAAACATCAGAATACCCAAAGTACTTGAAATAAACTGAATTAAAAACCATGCATTAAACACGAAGATATAAAACAAGATAACATTTCACTGTATTCACCACCTACAGGAGGTCGGTCGCGGCCCGGATAGCTCAGTGATAACGTCTCTGACTGTGGAGCTGGGTGACAAGGGATCGAGTCCGTCAGCGAGCAACAGTTCCCTCGAGATCACAGGTACGCCTTGCTGACGAGTGCCAAGTAGTATGAAACCCGGGTCCAGGGTTTCCTGTTGACTACCTCCAACCACCATCTTAAGAGATTTAAGCCTTCAATTTTTATAAGAAAAGTAACGCAATTTTATCTTCAATTATCAAAACTCTTGAAATTTTCAAGGATCAAATAACTAAACCAAAAATATTGTTTCTGGGATAGATAAATACCTACAGTTGCACCTGGAGACCACTATAATGGTTTCTATGTTCACGTAGATCTTTGTACAAAAACATTAATATTTCATTTTAGTCGATGTCTTATCATTAGTTAGATTGAAATAATGCAAAGTGATTTTACAAAGCATTCAATCTATATATTGATGAGGTAAAAAGGTATTGCTGACATTTAATGGCAACACCATGTTAGTAATGCAGAGGTTCGGCATCGTGTGTTCGGGCACACAGACGATAATGCAATTGGTGTTACCATCTTGAAACATCGACTTCGGTGGCTTGGACATGTTCTACGAATGTCGTCCCAGAGAATTCCACGTCGTGCATTATTTGCCGACACTGGGACTGGTTGGAAGAAGCGGAGAGGTGGTTAGTATATAACATGGTGTCGTGGGATGAAAGAAAGCTGCAAAGGGCTGGCTTCTGTTGGTCCTTCACAACTCCCTGGCTGGGGTCCGAGAGATGGTGCAACACAGTGACTAGAGACGTTATCAGATATAGCTAAGAATAGAAGCCAGTGGCGATCCTGCTGTAACCTTCTTTTACTTTTAAATAAAAATAATATATTTGTAATATCCCAATGAGTAGAAATATATTATTTTTATTTATAACAATCAACCCAATGCTAAATTTATTCGAAATTATCAAATCAAACCTTGGTAATGATACCTACTTCTTTTACTTTCTTCGTTAAAAAATGGTTGTTACTTCCTTAACTGAAAAATTTCTTCTGATTGTACCTCTCCGTTTCCACCATTATTACTATTATTATTACTACACTACCTTACACTAATCTGTTCGTTATTGTTCTTTTGTTTTTACGCTCCTTACCTTTTTTTTCTCTTCGAATTCTCATTGTTTTGTGTGGCGCATATATATTTGGTGCCCTCTTGTACCAATATTTATGTGTTCAAATAAATAAATAGATATTCTAATCAGATGTATTTATTTGAGATCACCGAGAAAGCAATAAGCATTATTAGAATTTAGCGCCTGTGTCTGGACTTATCTTTAGCAAAATAATCAACTAAAATTCGATGAAAATTATTTCCACTCGAGATATTAGTGCATGGTCAATAACAATGATACAATCTTTTGAAAGTATTTTGTACAAGATGCTAAAACTTTTTTCATACCTGAAACAGCTTGAATAAGAGGTATATTTAGCTCCCATTGTATATGTATACGCTAGCATTTTCCTCAGTTTAAACTACTTATCCATTTAGTTTATTGAATTCCGTTAGATGATTCATCAGTGCTAGATATTAAGAAAACATCCTAACACATCGCCTAGAATTTCCGTCGAAGACTAACAAAAGCATAAATATCAGTACGAACTAATACAAAACTAAACCTTGCAGGTGAGACTAATGATTGATAATTAAGTGTTTGAAGTAAAAAAATCATTAGGAGTAATACACTCAGTGGTACCAAAGAAAAATTACCTTGTCCCTTAAAAGAAGCGACTATAATGAATTTACCTTAACTATAAATATAATCATGTTAATGACATTATAACGTTAACTTGCTTTAAAACAGCTTTTAGACATAGTAAAATTATATGAAACCTAAATAAAAAAGACGGAAGATCAAAATACAAAACCAGGTACTTATCACATAATTACATCGATAACGATAAAAAAGTCAGTTGACTTACATCGTCTTCCGTAATAACCTCGACAGCAGGTGAAGTGGTTGTTTCATTATTGACGCCCTGAATTTCTGTTGTTGATTTTTGACGAGTTGATTTTCCACGACGTGTAGGACGTTTACGATTAACTACATAACATAAGCAAATAAACACTATAATTGATTAAAACTAAACGCCAAATGTTAGCACGTTTATATACAATAAAATTTCGCGAAAAATTAAATTTGTGTTTTTTACCTTCAAGTTTACGTAATCATACTTATCCGATAAGTGACTGTAGATGTTGTAAGTCTATGACAATCTTTTTTGTCTGGAAGGATAAAAATACTTTATCTACTATTTAGTCATTTGATTACTAGGATACTTAGTAAAATTCGGATTTATAGTTAATTCGAACACAACAAGTATAAATATTAGTCAGGGGAGAAAGAATTAAAATACATGGCGGAACACCGATTACCACGACGCACAAGGCTGACTAGTACTGGAAACGGTTGGAAGAAAGTTAGGGGCGACCAAACCAAAACGTGGCATCAATCCTTGAAGTCACTAGATTCTGGTCTGAGTCATGTTGGTAGATCCAAACTATTTGGTTGGGGCCCGCGCGACTATCATAACCAATGGTTGGAGACTCTGGGTGACATGGCTCAGGATCGATCACAATGGAGTAGGTGTATACACTCTATGTCTTCCCTTAAACAATGAGATTGAAATCGCTTCATATCTTTCTTTCTATCAACTAATTCTTTCTTCCTGTACTATATCCTTATATGCATTCTTTCTTTTATATATTACCACCATTGAATTAACTACTTCTATGAATTCGGTGTTCATCTTGTTGTGTTAATGAGGTATGGCAACTTGGATCGATGCGTATATGTGCCTGACCCTACACTGTAGCTGACTGACTGACTGATATGGTGCTAATAAACAAATTGCACATTTATAGGCTTTAAGTACATCAAAAATAGTTCGGAAAACGTTATTAGATCCTATCTTTGTTGATTTGCTCTTCTTCAACAATAAATTATACTTTAAATGTATAACTATCCAAATGATGGCTTATGAAAGAAACCATTGGTTAGATTAATTAAAATTGTACATTTACTTAATGTACTTTTTGGAAGAATTAATTGATTAATTCAAGTAAGTACTGGTTGGATTTAATAGATGGTTAGAACCAGTTTGTTTGCATCCCAATGTTATTTGATCATTATTCACAACTCGCATGAATACAACAATTGATACCTTCATTTACTAATACTTAATTTTATATTCAGTAATATATGTGCAGTGTACGAAAACCGCTGGTAGGCTCCAAAATGTTAAGGGTGAAAAACAGAGATACGGGATCAGTCCATGAAGGTAATGACTGTCGGACTGAGCAGGTACAAACATTCTGGTTGAGCTCTGTAAGATAATTGAAATCTATAACTGAAAACTTAGAGTGATGCTGCCCAAAAGTGGTCGCAGTGTTGAGTATACTCTTTTCTTATCAACCGCAAAATTATAAACTGATATTTTATTCCTTTTGTTTCATAACTACACTGATTCTTTTGAAAGTAATTTTGTTTAGTTTTCTATTAATTTTATTTTTCATTTCCATTTTTCTGTCTATCCTCTTTTTAACTTCATACTGCTGTGCTGTGTAAATTTCGGTCGCTTGACATAACATACATATATTCCAAGTCCTATTTTATGCATGCCTTTCTATTTGCTACTGAATTACATTATTAAGTACACTGTACTAAGGAAATACAGGGATTAAACTATCTAAAAATTGACTAGAATGTTAACTTACCTGAATTACTTACAACACCAACTTTGGCTAAATATTTAACAGCATCTCCTGGTTTCCTACTAGAATCATCACTATCCAAATCAGATTTCACCGCTGATGCTGTAATGCTAGTTCGACTAACGGGTGTACTAACTGTGGCAGTTCGCATCTCGCGATTAATGTATCCACGTTTCTTTTTTTGTGCTTCACTAACATGATCTGTACGAAAGAATTTGTTGCCTGATTGTTGAATAGTTGTCTCTTCGGAATTCAATGTTTCAGCATTGTTATCCTAGTAAAAAAGAAAACCAACCGTTTATTAAAATAAAAAAGATATACTGTATTGTGATCCAGAAAAAAACAAAAAGTAACATCGTTGACAAAGCATAAACTTAAGAAACGATAGAAACGCAACTAGCAACTAATTTTGTAGCAACCAATGTTAGAACGATTGTATGAGTACACATAGAAATCAATATACTCAGAACACATGTTTCATTCTTCTTACCTGATCCTAAAGTGGGAGGGAACTCAACTAAATCTAGATTTTAGAAAGAACATGCAGGAAATTATGGAAAAAGGATGCTGATTGTTTATTAGAAATTAACAAAATTTGTCCAGAATTACTGTCTTAATAATAAGAAATAATATGATTTACAACGATACTCAAGTTTACCGGTAGTGATAAACAAGGAGAGCATTCATAACGTTATTGAGGACCTACATGGATTTTGAGTTGTTATTTTAGTTATACTATTTATTTTATAAGTCCATTAAATTTAAAAGTTCCCAGACGTAGGTCAACCTCACATGTGTAACAGTAAAAACTTGAATTTTATGTAGACCTTTTCAGAGGCTATTGAATAAGAACAGAAAGTTAACGATTCTTCTTCTATTTAATGAGCACTTTAGACGATTTTTTTGAAAGATTGTTAGGAAGCTGTGAGTTTTAGAAAAAAACCACATGTGTGTAAAATTCTATGAACTTTATAGATAAATTTTTGAAGCAATATAAAGCTAATTCTGGAGCTTACAGTTTATTCTTACATCGATTTAATTAACCTATATATAGGCAAGATTCATTTATGAACTGGACTGGGATAACCTTAAATAAAATAAACCTACCAAATTAGTAATGAACAACTCTACAACAAGTAAATTAATACTTGTCATCAAAACAAACATGAATTAACGTCTAGTCATTTTGATAGAAATGTATTTAAATCTATTGTGATTTTATATAAACTAATGAAGAGCAATTTAAGTGACGAGGAAAATAATTTACACTAAAGGACGTTACAGTTAACTAACATTTTTTACACACACTATGGTTTATCAGCCCTTAAAGTTCTAATCAATTCTGAATATATAGATCATACTCTTACCGGGTTCTAGAAGTTTACACAGATAATCTTGAGATAATATAAATGAATCATTTAGATATAAAAAAACCAATACTTATACACAGGTGGATATTAACAAATTGTTACCAAGCTGAAATAACTCAAAAATTCAATAAAGATAAAAATGCATATTTTTCCATTTTTGTCAACGGAACCACAATTATTCATGTTTTCTACTTTGTCATTTCACAACAAAAAAATACTAGCGAATTAATGTCTCTATTCTTTTGAGTGCAAGTCAAGTGAATGATTTACCATAACATTGTTCGCAGTAGTGAAGTACCTTGCAAGAAGTAGTACGTGCTATTACGACTACTACTGGTAATAATAGTAATAACAATAACAATATTAATGATTGTAATAACTTTCACACCCTGGCACGGAAAACAAAGTAACAATGTAAAAAAGGATATAGCATGTAAATGAAAACACTATTTATTAACAAAACCACGAAATAGATGAACCATGAAAACATAAAATTTAGGATTACCGATGTTAACATCTGTTCTTCTGATGGTCTAGGTGGAGACTGTTTGAATTCAGCTAGTTGGTGGATCGGAGGCAAGACAGTCGACACAGATGATATTTTCAGCTAAAAATACAAAAAATCGTTTTGTGCAGATCTTTAGTTTCTTCTACTCCCTAAGAAAAATAATATGCTAAGCATTACCTCACTATTCATTAATTATGATCATTTTGCTTAAACTATCAAATATGAGTGAAATAAATATCATGTCGTATACGTAGTTTACTTTAAATAAATCACCGCAATAATACACTTTTGGATAAGAACAAGTGTTTAACAGTTAAAGCTCTGACAAAACAAACCAACTGGGTTTGTAATTTTTTTATTTATGAATAAGTGACAATTCTGAGTCCTAAAATTGTTTTCGTTCAATTATAAGTGGATCATAAACAAAACCCTACTTACCCCAGTGAACAATGATGGTTTGGGACGCGGTGGTTCACAGTGTGAGGATGGTGTTTCCAGCGCAGAACTTGATAAACCCGTAGAGTCCAAAAACTTCTGTTCATGTTCATCAGCGGATTCAACGGTCCCCTCAGGAGTAACAATGACTCGACGATACAGTGAGTTGGCAACATGGGGAGGGCAACGACCCAAAGGCAGTCCCATACATAAGAAAGCTTGTGACTGAAGAGGTAATTCCGGACGGTTGTGAGTTTTCGAATCTGTTGCTAAAATAAACAAAAGTAAATAAAAAACAGAGTCAGATTAGGGAGATATAAGTTCTTCCCAGGATACCTTATGTTTGGAATTGTGAGATTAATACGTCACAGATTTTGATGACCAAGCGCACGATATTTATGCAAAATACAAGTTAACTCATGGTACAATGATAATGTGACATATTCTCTTAGTAATAGCAGCCCGATATCACCACATACTTCCATAAGAGACGTTTCTAAAACGTTGGAGGGGAATGAAGAGATGAAGAACCTATAAATAATTCTTTGATTTGAGATATATATCTTTCTTCCCACCAGATGCACTAGTGAACTTGCCTTTTAAAAAGTCAATGAATTTTTCAAATTGATTAATAATTTTGAGTCTACTTCGATCGAATAAATAGTTATGATAATGAGGAAAAGATGCTTATCAACACTGACCCTCATAGAAAGGTGTCATTGCTGGTGTTTGAAATCTAATACCTTTATTACACACTACATGGCTGGATTTCAACCCATAAATAGTAATAATTACGTAAACATTCATACCAGTATCGGTAGTATATAGTTACAATACGAACAACTTGAAGGGAAACTGGACTCATACCTTTACGATGACGATTTTAAATAAAGTGATATATTCAATATTCATATATTTAGTAAATAAATTTTTATGGTCGGTTCAAAAGGCTTTTCTGATACAAATATCCTAGACACATGTTGTCTATCAGCTGTTGTATGGCAGACAAGAAGGTGGAGAGGTCAGAATGGTACAATATATACTAGCAAATTAAGCCCAGTTTAAATTAATATTACAACTAGGAAACATTAAATAGAAATAACACTTACGTCGTTTAGACTCGGCCTTTGGTGCTTGAATAAGACGGACCTTTGAGCATCTTTCACGCTCTCGATCATCTTCTTCCTTTAACTGTTCATAACTCTTTTCATAACTAAGCATATTCCTCGTAAAAACTCGATTAATGTAGGCCCTCTTAAAGCGAGGGAACAATTTTAACAACTTTCCTAGCTCTTGTACACAATCCTTTCCCTCATATGTCCTTATTTTCTTTTCCATTCTGTGGAAATGTTAAAAAATGGAAAAATTAAGTAAAGTAAAACTAGTATGTTGTTTTATGAATTTATTATAAACTGAAAAGAAGTGGTTTTAAGATAACTTGTTGGCATTTATTTAGGTGCAGAATGAGGATGAAACAAACAACCATTTCTTTCATTGAACATAAAACTCTGACAATGAATAAATAAACTGAATGCTGTGGAATTTAGTTCGTATGAGATCATAGAGCAATTATTAGTGAAAACAGGGAGCCGACGAGATACACCCTCTGTTTATCTGGCGACCAGATGACAAGTTCTCGTGGACTGGGGGTGTAGGCATAGCGCTAGGTGTGAGGGCAAAACGAACACTATTAGAACGGATCCCCGTTAACAGTCGCCTATGTGCTGTTCGGCTAGACGGCTCAGTAAGAACTCGGAAGGATAGGGACACACGTCGTTGCCTTTTCCTTGTTTCTGTCTACGCTCCTAATAACTGCAACCCGGATGAAGTGTAAGATGAATTTAACAGAAAGTTCTCTGAACTTCAAAAAGCTAAACACTTAGACATAGTACTTGTAGCAGGTGACTTTGATGCCCAAGTAGGTAGCTTAAACCAAACAGAAAGACATTTAGGTGGGTATTTTTATATTCCGGCTCAGCGAACAGATAATGGTGATCGTCTGCTGCAACTGTGCTCAGACAATCGTTTATTGTTAACAAGCACTGCCATGCTCTAATACGCGAACGCATCTGCATGCGTCTCACTGGTCACAGAAAAGCCACACTAAAAAGACTCATTAGAATTTAATTGAGTGACGAGAAAGCCGAAAGTAGATTCCGGGAACAACTGAGGTCACAACTAGGTAGTTCTGAAAATGAGGCTGACCCAGATGTTGCTTGGAAAGATATACGAATAGCTGTGGCAACAGCAGTGACATCTGTTAATGATTTGAACCAAAGGGTCACGAAAAACAAATGGATTTCTACTAAGTCTATTGCACTCAAAGATTCTCGTAAACTCGTCTCATCAGGTTCCGACGACGCTGAAGAACGAAAACAAATCAGATCTAGGTTAACCAAAAATATAAGGAACGATCATGAGCTGTGGTGGGCATCGAAAGCAAGAGATGGAAAACGCAGCAGCTGTATGAAACACAATACAGCTTTACAGACTAATAAAAGAAACTGCAATTAAGAAGTAAAGTGTGAGACGATCTTGGAAAAAGACGACACTCTTATCTACTCTCAGCCCATATATTTAGAACGATGGTCAGAACACTTTAAGGAGCAGTTCGGCTGGCATTCAGCTACTATACAACTACTAACCATTCCCAAACAGCCTGAATGCAACATTGAAGTAGGTCCCCCGACTTAAATCGAAGTTCAAAAAGCTATAACTACTCTGAAACGAGGAAGAGCAGCTGGTCCAAACTACCAACTTATGTCACCTATGGAGAACGCGAAATATCCGTCTATCAATAAAAAAACGAGTATACTGCACGGCAGTTCGTTCTGTTCTATTTTACGGCTGTAGAACGTGATTATTAAGAGTAGAAGATACTCGTAAGTTACTTGTATTTGATCACAGATGTCTTAGAAATATTGCTCGCATCTGCTGGAATCACCGGGTAAGCAATAGAGAGGTTGAACGCAAGATATTAGGGAATGATGGTAAATCAGTTGATGAACTTGTAAATCTTCATCCACTGAGATGGTTGGACCACGTGTTACGAATGCCAAAACACCGATTACCACGACGCACAATGCTGACTAGTACTGGAAACGGTTGGAAGAAAGTTAGGGGCGACCAAACCAAAACGTGGCATCAATCCTTGAAGTCACTAGATTCTGGTCTGAGTCATGTTGGTAGATCCAAACTATTTGGTTGGGGCCCGCGCGACTATCATAACCAATGGTTGGAGACTCTGGGTGACATGGCTCAGGATCGATCACAATGGAGTAGGTGTATACACTCTATGTCTTCCCTTAAACAATGAGATTGAAATCGCTTCATATCTTTCTTTCTATCAACTAATTCTTTCTTCCTGTACTATATCCTTATATGCATTCTTTCTTTTATATATTACCACCATTGAATTAACTACTTCTATGAATTCGGTGTTCATCTTGTTGTGTTAATGAGGTATGGCAACTTGGATCGATGCGTATATGTGCCTGGCCCTACACTGTAGCTGACTGACACAACCCTCTTAGTCAAACCCTTTATAATACCTAATAGTGAAAAGTGACTTGTAAGAGACTTTTTCCAGTTAGCTATAAACAATATATAGCCTATTATGAATGTGTGGGAGTCAGTCAGTCAGTAACAACGTAGAAGTTCGTACGTACGTAAATCAGTTCGAGTTGTTGATTCAAATCTCGTAGTGGTAGAGGTAATAAGAGTATAATCAGTAATCGGGAAAATTAGTGTTTGGAGATGTTATTTAAAGAGTATAATACAGTGAAATAAATTTGGGAAGAGAAAAAAAAGAGACAAGGAGGAATAAGGAGATCAAAATTTGGGAGAACACAAAGAGTGTATGCACCTGCGCCATTGCAAACGATTTTGAGCCATGTCATTCAGGGTCTCTAACCATCGGTTGCTGTCGTCTCGCGGTCCTCAACCAGGTGGTCTACACCTACCAACATGACTCAGTCCACTTGTCAGTGACTTCATGGATTTGTGCCATGTTTTGGTCTAACCACCCCTAGCCTTCTTCCAACCTACTCCTATACTAGAAAACATCGCACATCGAGGCAGTCGGTCGTTGGGCATACGTAACACGTGTCCCAGCCATCTCAACTGATGAAGTTTCACCACTTCATCAATCGATTTGCCACCTAGTACCCTTTTCCTAACAACTGCATTACTTACTCGATGCTCCCAGGATATATGAGCAATGTTTCGAAGACACCTATGATCGAATACTAATAACCTATGAATTTCCTCTACTCTTACCGACCACGTTTCACTGCCATAAAGTAGGACGGAACGAACTGTTGCACAGCAAACACATCCTTTGGTTGATAGACGGATATCTCGCCTGCGCCATAGATGACGCAAGTTGGTAAAAGCTAGTCGAGCCTTCTGTACCCGTGCTGAGATTTCGTCACACACCAGACCACAAGGGTTGATGAGACTTCCAAGACAAGTGAAGTGATCGACACGCTCAATTGCTTCACTCCCTATCATTAGTTCGGGTGTCAATGCAACCCAACCCTGAAGCAACATTTTGCATTTCGAGGGGGAGAATCGCATCCCGAACATGCTTGCATTGTTGCTTAGAGTGGTCAGAAGACTGCATTTTGTCAGCGTCTTCACCAAATAAAACTATGTCATCAGCATATTCTAAGTCAACAAGTGAACCTCCCGGTAGAAGTTCAACCCCTGGAAATTTAGACGAGGAAAGTGTTATCTCTAAAAGTACGTCGACGACAAAGTTGAACAAAAATGGAGAGATTCGGCAGCCCTGACGAACACCACTTGAGGTAATCAATTCTGATGACAGTTCGCCAATAAGCTCTCACTCTACCAGTTGTGTTCGAGTAGAGAGCCTTTACAAGGTTAATGTACTTCTTTGGTACTCCTTTCAGTGACAAACACTGCCATAGAACCTTACGATCGACAGAATCGAATGCTGCTTTAAGGTCGAGAAATACTACGATTGTGGGGCGTCTGAACGTGTGTCTGTGTTCTAGAACCTGGCGTAGTGTGAATATCTGATCTATACAACCACGTCCAGGTCGAAAACCAGACTGATTTTCTCTAGTCTGCTCTTCACGAGGTTTAGTTAGGCGTCGAAGTATTATTGAAGCTAATATTTTAGATACTATATTTGTCAAACTGATTCCTCTGTGATTGTCACAAGAGGACTTTTGTCCTTTCTTATAGACTGGCACAATCAGTGATTGAGACCAGTCAGATGGGATTACGTCCAGTTCCCAAATTCTACCTAAGACCTCAGTTAGTCTCACTGCTAATACTGAACCACCATCCTTAAAAATCTCAGGAGTAAACCTGTCAGGGCCTGCTGCTCTCCCTCGCTTCAGATTTCCTATGGTTTTTTCAACTTCGTAAAGAGTCGGAGGACCTACACTAACTTGCCATTCAGGTTGGCTGGAGATCGTGGGAAACCGAAATGTGGCTGAAGGCCAGTTGAACTGATCCCTAAAGTGTTCTGCCCATCGATCCAATCTCCTGGATTGAGAATGTAAAATATGTCAATCTTTCTCTGAGAGTGTTTCGCTAACAGTCGGTTTCCTAATACCGGTTCCCTTAACAAGTCTGAACAATTGTCTGCTATTACCTATTGCCGCTGCCTTTCCCATCTCTCTTGCTTTCGCTACCCAACACTGTTCACGATCATTGCGTAGACTTCTTGTCAGCTTGCGCTTAAGCTGACTCCGCTCTTCATTATGTTCAGAGCCAGGTGGAATGAGTTTCCGAGAATCTATCAGTGTGATAGATGTTGCTGAGATCCAGTGTTGCTCCCTAACCTTACGGGTTACCGTACTAGCAGATATCACTGCTGTTTCCACAGCTTTTCGGATATCATTCCATGCTGCCTCGGAGTGGGCATCACATACATGGCTGCCTAACTGTTTTCTAGTTGTTCCTGAAATATACTCTTAGCGTGACTATCATTAAGTAGGGCCCTAAGAGGTTTACTTGCAGCGTCTTCCCTACGTCCAGTAAGACGCAGGCAAATACGCGCTCGTACTAGAGCATGATCTGAATCTAAGCATGTACTTTAGAATGAGCGACAGTCTTCTACCGAGGCCCTCCATCGGTGGCTAATAGCGATGTGGTCTATTTGCGTCCAACGTTGGGACGAATTCGGTGGTCGCTATGTCAAAAGATGTTTTTCCTTATGCTTAAATGTAGTATTTGCAAGAAACAGGTGGTTATCTGAGCATAGCTGCAACAGACGGTCGCCATTATCTGTTCTTTGAGCCACGACACTATAAGATCCACCGAGGTGTCTTTCCCTCTCGCTTAGTTTACCTACTTGAACATTAAAGTCATCAGCTATTATTACTACATCAGAGCACCTAGCTTTTCGGAGAAGGTCGGAAAGCTTTCTGTAAAACTCGTCTTTTACATCATCTGCGCTGCAGTCAGTGGGAGAATAGGCAGAGACGACGAAGAGGCAACGACGAGTGTCTCTATCTTTCCGAGTCCTTATTGTTCCGTTCAGTCAGACAGCGCACAAACGACTGTCTACTGGGATCCACTCTAAGAGAGCTAGTTCTGCCCTAGGACTCAATGCTATACCTACGCCGGCGAGGCCACGGGAAGCAGAATCAGGGCTTCCAGACACATGAAGCATGAATTGAGATGGTTCTTTGTTTTGATATGGTGAGGTAGAGCAGCGTACTTATCGATCGATTACAGTGACACGTAAACACGAACGGACGGCCTAGAGTCTCGATTGGTCTCGCTTCCCTGTCTAGCCCAGTCAGTTGAGTCCAGAACACAAGCCACAGCCTCGGGGATATGAATCATTATATTTCAAACATACTCTATTTATATACTAACCAAGCATACCACAGCGTACCATAAAAATAGAAAACAACATTTTGTACAATACTCGACAAGTGAACAGATATCGACCAATAGGAAATGTCCATTTAAAGCCCAAGGACACCATTGGACTTAACATGATAATTATTGGTCTATTCCTCCGCATCCACAACATGAAGTCAAGTGAATGACGCTACTCGGATCCTGTATGGGCGTTTCAGAGGCGCAGCACACATAAATGGCGCGGGATTCTAAAGTCTTAGCTAAGGAAGCCTGCTGTCCTATTTGGCACAGTGTCCGGACGTTAAAAGCTCCTACGTGTAGTTTAGAGCGTGGTTTTAGGAGACCAGGAATAACGTTCCGCGTACTCGAATCGTTTGCTCTAGCGGTGCGAGGTGATAAAGAGACGTGAGGAGGGTTAGTCATGAAGATAAGAGAGGTATTAGGAGGTGTAGGAAGGATTTGACTGTGACCAACTTGGTCTCGTGTGCTGTTACGGGTATGAGGGCTGGTGTCACTTCCCGGCTGCCCACACCGTGGAAGGGTATTTCTTGAGGAACCTGAAAAGGAAATTGGATTAGTGTTGGTCTTAAAGACCTGGGAGCGTGACCGCAGAGCCCAAGGGACAACTGCTTGAGGCCGGTCTCGCACAGCCTTTTCGTGGAAGGTTTTTAATGTGTTAGCTCCGTTCTTCAAAGGGCCTTACCGCCGGAAACGGAAATCCGTGAGGTAAGGTGAGGTGTGACATTTTTAGGGTCGACCTTTTCTAACCCCACCCCTCCTTGTGGGAAGGCAGCATCGCTGCAGATGTTGGTTGTCTGAGGGAAACACCTTACTGCTGTCACACCTCTCTACAGTCAGCAGTACGACTTCTCCCTCAGACCTTGAGCTGATGCTTTTAGTCTTACCGTTCTCCAATCGACCTGCCTGGCATGGTAGAACCTACAGGAACATATGTTCCAGCCAATATAGTTCGGTTGGGTCATGATAGGCAAGCCCGACCACCGCGTCAAGGTAGCAGCTTCGGTCGGGATGTGTGGGAGTCCCCATATTCCACGGCGATGTAGCGGGGAGTTAGCAAACTCCAGGGAAGTATCCCAGACTGTGAATTAAACCAATAAATAAATAAAAGATTATACTAATGTCCAGCCATATAATATTTGAAAGATCACTACAGACAGTTTATTGAACTGATAGTTCATTTCACAAGTTCATCACCATAATATTTTCTGGTGTATGATCCACTGTTATATCTAGGGTGAGCTTACAATCCAATAATAAAAACAGTTGATGTCGATAGTAAGAATTTCATAAATCGTAAAATCCATTCGAAATCCTGTTGGCCGGGTTTGAGTGGTGAGCAAACAGCTATGGGATCACAGTAAGAACAATGAATTTTGTTTTCTAGAAGTACATAAGTAGCCATTTTCCACCTTAACAGGTTTACAAACATTTTATGCACCTTACCACATATACAGAGTCAAACTGATGGTAAATATGAAAGAGGATTTTTAATTGTGACTGGTGCGTCGACAACATATTCCCTTCCAAGCAAATAACTTTATTCTAAAAATAAACAAGTGCTTACACATCATCCAATGGAACAGAAGAAAATCGTCCACGACCACGTGCTTTTGAACGCATAGTTGGTGTGAAAAACTGCTGTCCTCGCCCTGTCGAATTAACACCACACATCAAACCAACGTTGTCGTTCATAATGACGGGTGAATTCATGTCAGAAGTCGGAAGTGAGACAGATGATTCACCGATACCAGGATCTTGACCATGAATTGGTAGTGTAGTTAGAGCGTCCATATCAGTGTTTGTGTTATACACTTGTGAAATAATTTCATTAAAAAATGAATGCTTACTATTTAAATTGACTATGTAATGGGGCATACTGGACTCCTCTGAAAGACAAAAATACATAAAAAACAATTAGTATGAATAATAAGTAATTAGACAGTAATTAAACAAATAAGTGAAATCAGACCACTGAAAAAATGTATACGAAGCGTGTAATGCATAATAAAACAGTAGTGTCAGATACAGAGTAGCATTTATTGAAAATACATCTCCACAAGTTAATATGCCACATTAGTGAAACAAGGAGAAATGAGCACATAAAAGATTAAAGTGATTGTAATCTATGATAGTCAAGAAACTAAACAGAAAATCTGATACAAAAAGGAGTGAAATGGGAGAAAAAAACTATATGACTGTATCAAAGCTCAGCATTTGAAGGATGGAAAATTCAAGCATTTTTATTGTTCCGATTATTTGTCAATATTGTTGTGTGGACTTTAACCATAGGGTCGGCACCCAACAATATGATTAAAACCAATAGTTAGTGATTTGATAGATTGATTGCACGTCTTAGTTTGGTAGCTAGCTTTCTTCCAAACTAACTCTAAACTGTCAGGATCGTATGGGAGAGACGTAAGAGAAAATGTGTGGCACATCCGAACTACCACAACCTATAAAGATCCCAGATTGGTCAACCGATCTGCTATATTTAGCTAGTACTCCACCTAATGTATTTATTTATTTATTTTAACACAGATATTGGTACAAGGAGGTACCAAATACATATGCGCCACACAAATCTTATTCGGTATGTGTGAGGGCTGTGATAGTGCCCGGGTGCCCAAACTGAAGCACGTGGTTTTCTTAGGGGGCCACACCCCGAGCCTTCGACCTGAAGGTCTGACCCATAAGGCTGTGGAGCATCGTAAGGAGATGCAGTGCCATGGTAGCCGGTGACCAAAAATTGGTCCATACGCCATTTGTTCCCGCAGGATACTGGAGCCCATGTGCACCATTGGTTTGGGATCCGGTTAAAGCGCCGGACATTCGCTTTTCATCCTCTCATTTTTGTAAATAACACCCCCGCCACGAGAAGGCAGTGAGTAGGACTTTCCTGGCAGAGGCTATATACGCGTGGCCATGTGAGAGCATTTCGAGGGAGAGCGGGCTCTCCCCACTCTCGGCCGTACCAGGATATTTGGGGACCTGTAAGCCTGTGGATCCTTAATGTCATATTGCCACATAGATCATATCTATAACAAATCGTATAGTATTTCAAAACTCTTAAAGAACAAAAACAGCAGATAGTTACTGACCTACATCAATCCTAAATCATTTGATACAATCACAATAAGTATAGACTGTCTATTAATTTAAACTGGATTTTTGTCCCCAAAACCGAAACCTCGAGTGTGGTTAGCAAGAGGCCAGTTAGTATTCAGATTAATGAAATTTTTACAAGTGTACAAAGACAATCGCTCAATTTAGTGTGCTGAAACAGTTAAGCGAAATGAATGTCATAAAGTTAGAAATACCTCAGATATCGACTGAATAGGAAAAACAAATCAGACCTGTTGACATGAACTAACTCTGGAGAGAACAAAAAGTACCCATTAACCCAAAACTATGACAATTTACCAAGTCTAAACAACTGTTGGCAATTTTGTCTTCCATTTGAACTAATTTCTGTAAACATGAACTTAGGGTAATAATATGCAAGAAAATTAGAGAAACACAAGACTTATGTCCATTGTGATAATTAAAATGTTACTCTTGTATCCATACTAAATTACAAGTAACTTAAGATTTGGGCTGCACAACTATATTAGATTTTATGCTGGATACTATGTTGTTAGTCAATAGTTCGTGCTAATACCTCATAGATGTCACACTAAAGTACCACGAACATTTAAAAGCTAAAGAAGAACCCGAATTAACATGTATGGAAACAAGCCTATACAGTAATGAAATATTTGTGTACACCTCCGTAGCATTTAAAATCTGGTTACGATAAGCTAAAATATCGCAGGCACAAAGTTAATAAGTACAAACAGAATTTAAGCCACATTTTGTTTATAATGATTGATATTATTAATCCCTACTTAATACGAGCACTAAAGACCCTTCTCTTGGTTTGATGTAAGAATTATAATACCTCTATTTTCCTGGTGAACCTTCTATTGAAAGTACCTCGAACTTGCTCCCTTTTATTTCCCTACATATTTTTGTCCTTTTGAATGATAGGAATTCGGCGATTCCAATTCGTACCAATGTCCTTACTCTAGACCATGATAATTTTTTGACCTAGCAGAAAAGATTCGAAAGATTAGGTTAAACAAGTCATATACAAAATGTCTATTTCACAAAGTACTAATAACAGTCTGAGACTTAAGTATTATGGAGTACGACCCCTCGAGTATCATCTTCAAAGGAAGAAATCCAAAACGACAGCCTTCTGAAACTCTACACTTAATCCCGCATACTAACTATTGGATAATCAAACACGAAGTAGTGAGTATTTAGTTAAAATTAGTTGTCAAATGCAATCGACGTAGAACCTAGGACAAATGTGCATTAGCCCAAAGTGCCACAACACAGTATGAGATAAAGTTAATGAGACGAGTAGTTAATGAGTAGAAATAACGTTGTACCAATAAAACTAAACATGAAAAAAATGATTTGACAAGCAGATAAGAAAAGATATCCACGAAAGTACGCTAGAACTCACAATTTAGAGGAAAACTAGTGAATATATCTGAGACATTATGAACCAACGTGTCTAACTATTGATCTTGGTTACGCAGTCTGCATTAACCAACATGGCTTAGACTAACGGCTAGTGAATTCACAGACTAATTTTAAGTATTGGTTATGCCACTCTTAGTATTCTTCCAAACTACCCCAAAACTAGTCAACATCGCGCGTCGAGATACATGCTTCAACCATCTCAGGTGACGAACCACAATCTAACAAACTGGTTTATTTAATGCCTAGAGCTGGATCAAACTAAAATTTCTCAGGATCCCCTGTTAATAGATCATAATCAATACGGAATGGTAAGCGCACATCATCTTACGTTGCTCTACCATGTTAGCACAGTAAGACGAACTGCTAAGGTAAAAATGACAGTAGGATCAGTGGTGGCAAAAAAGACCAAGCACCGAAAAATATAGTTCAAAAAGGGATAAAGTGGAGGAATAAAAAGTACGAAATAATGTTAAAGCTTTAGAATTAGTGAAAGGCAAAGAGTGAATCGATTTGGGCCACAATAAGCAATTTTAATTCATGTGGGCTGACGCTTTCAATCACTAGTGACGGTTATCGCGCAAATTCTAACCAAGTTATCTGCACCTAACAACACGGCTTACACCAATATTTAATGACCTGATTGACTGATTCTACGTATTAGTTCGACTACTCTTAGTCTTCCTTCAAAATAATCCCACTCCACTCAACATAACGTGTCGTATTAGGGAGTGAACTGGACTTGACACAAAAAGCCCTAATAGCTTCTTTAAAGAATACTGTTTGCTGCTAATAATTTTCGGGAGACGGGAAGCAAATCTAGCTTCCAAAATGACCTGAAAAGTGGATAATAATTGAATATGATCTACTAACCATGTCTTTATTGGGTGAGGTACTACCAACACAAACAAGTGGACGTTTAAGATGGGTACTTACAGAAAACACTTAATATCTTGGGTTGACAATAGTAAGAGCATAATAGTCAAGCCTAGTCCATTGGTAATCTACCTGCTAGTAGAAAGAATTGAAAACTCAACTGATGATTACATAAAGTGCACTGACTTCTAGAAAACAGCATGGACGATTAAAATAGCCACCGCTAATAATACGCATAGAGGAAAACTAATCAAAATGCAAATAGTCGACAACATTCATGTGACGTAGAGATTGTATAACAAAAATTTGGCGTTTATTGACAAGTGTTCGGCTACTAGGTTATAATTAAGTCAATTTTAAGCTATTACTAACGCAGATACCTATTTCTATAGGATACGATATTAACACTCAATACGTACAAACCGTTGCCAGTATGATAACCAAAGTGAAAAATAATGGACGTACAATGTGGCTACCTAATTGCATGGAATTATTGTTTAGGAGATACCTAATACTCACTGACCATCGTGGAAAGTGATGGATAAATGGAGATCACAATATAGTCCACAGAAACTTGGCAATTTAACTACCTTTTGGTGCCGTTTGACCCTAGGACTACGGATTGGGGGAGAACAAAGGATATTCTCAGCACTTCCATGAGATCATGCACATAAGTCCTTTGAATATGCAATAAAGCATAATACTTCAGGTGAATTCAACTAGGATGGGAAGATGAGCAGTGACATATATTTTGACACGACGTAACCTATACTACTCATATATTTATAGTAGGGTGAAGTGAGAGGGCAAAATATCAAGTCAGTTTGTAAGCAAAAAAACGACTTATACTTAGAATTCATGGCAAAACAATTACCTGCTTCGCCACTCGTGTCAATATGGAAACTAGCCAAATAGTCTGGGGCTTCAATAACAGACACCATCCTTTCTGACAATAAAGTACTGTCTTTAACATCTCGCTCGTCATCAGTTTTCATAATCCGATTTTCAGAACTCGCTGAAGAGGAAAACAGAATGTAAATTTTAGGGAATATCCATTACCAATATCAGGACGGTCATCCGTCATCAAAATGGAAAGAAAGCAATATGTCCGCGCAGATGTTCAAACAGACTATTCAAACAACGCCACAAAACTATGACCTGAAAAACAGTTAAAATGACAAAAAGTAAAGCAAGAACAAAATACTAGATGAATTATCCTAACTAAATTTTACATTTGTGAAACATCACTTATGAGTCAAATGGTAACGTAAAAAATTGGTCCGATAGCATTTGATCGCTTTTCTATATAGTGCTCTAGGCTAACTAGGTCAAACATTTTATAACGGTTATTGGGAAAACGAAGGAATCAGAAAAAAAAATAATCTGACGAGTTTCCGTGTTGGAGACAATAGATAACCTCAGCCTACTGATGTAATCGTAAACTAGAGCAATCTGCAAGAGAAGTATTGAATTATTGCGCTGTTCTATACTTCACTCTTAATTAAACACCAGACTATAGTTTTTAGTACTTCCGCGAAGCCCATTCTATGATATCGACGGACATTTAGTCCCGAAACTGGATTGCTTTTTATGGAAGTTTTGTTTATCATTAGACGAATTATCTGTGAGCTCAAGCTGATTTGCATCATTTGGTTTTCTGATTAAAATTCAGAAATTATTCATAACAGTACTCCGAAAATATTTGAAGTATGTAAGCAAGCACGGTTTTAAGTTGTCCTCTTCGATATGGTGGATTTTTCCAATGATCCTATATCCACTCCCTTTGCTGCAGAGTACGGTAGTCGTCATGATAAAACCAGAGACAACCACATGTATGATCCCAAACTCAGTTCATAACTACATCCTAATTGCTACTAGTATTGCCAAGAGCTTCGTGTTACCGAGTAGTACCAACGCTCCGAGAACGGCGTCAGAAGGAAGGAGTCCAAGTAAATGAAGGCCTATCGCTCTATAAAGATGTCACGGACACTCGGGGATTGACAACCTCATTGTCCACAACACGTTTCTGATTGAGGATCTCTAGCCTAAACACACCAAAAGACTGGAACAAAGCGGATCAAAGATAGTCGATGGGCCGAGAAGTATGTGATTCAGGCTGGTTATTTTTCGAGAAGGCGTCTTCAGCCATGGTATGTCCAGTGTAACTAATGGGGTCAATATCACTGTCGAAGATTAAAGGAACAACTTGTGTTGGGAATTTATTCTCAGCTACACATATACGTGAACAAATGATTTCTGAAATAATAGTAGAAATTCCGACCAAACATATCTAAGCTTTTCTTAAAAACTGAATACATCACTAATGCGGTTTCCCTCATGCCATAGAAACCTGGTAATATATATAACATGCCTTTTGGAATATTCGGTCATAGCATAAATCTATGATTTTAGTATCTTTTATACGTTACGAAAAATGATGCTTTCTCTGTAAGTGAGAGGAACACGTTCTAAGGATATAGTTTATTCGGAGCAGCTTCTAAAAATCATCTTACGAGCAATGTAAGCGCCGAATAAACGCCTAGATCTCTTTGACTTACGATCGAATAGGCTAAGCAGGCCAATAGTATGCCTCAAGAGACTCATAAATAACTAAGTAGCAACTCTCAAATGTTGCTAATAGGTCAGAGATATCCTTGTCAACAGGAGTGCTGCTGTACAGCTATAAAATAAATTTTGTGTTCGCTTCCTATTTTGTCCTCGGTGTTCAATAATGGGCAAATGGTTATCACCGAACTAACTGGCGAAAATGTTCGATGAGTGTATGTTGAGAGCCTGAAAGTAGCTGATCTATGAAAAGCTATTCGTTTCGAACCTGAATCATCGTACCTCGAGCCTTTGCTGAGGTTACTAGCTGGATCATTTTGTGTCAAGTGAGCCTTGGAACTCAAAATTGATGATGAATTCAGTTGATTGTTCTTTATCATCAAAACATAAGGTATCGATCTATTTAAGTACTCTCAATCGTTGGAAATTTCATTGTTCATATCACAGTCTATCACATTTTAAATCTGTATCTTTCTTAGTGGTATAAATGGCATATTTCATGCACATTTGAGTACTTCTGATAATCGAACTTTTATGTTTTGTAAGTAGACTACATAAGCATTAGCATCCTCCCTCCGAGCTGTACATTCCTACTAATTTATCTCCTCGTAATTCATCTTGGATTGTCGATTTCACAGTTGCCAAAAAGTACGAATGGGCAGTTCTGATATCCTCGAATGTTTTGAAAATTACGGGTTCACAAAGAAAAAGTGATTCTGTTTGGATTATTCCGAAGCCCTCAAATTCAATTTCCTTATAGTTGGGTAGTGTTTACAGTCAACCAGACGCATCAACAGTGGAAATGGCAATATTATCAAAATTATTTACACTACCTACGTCCTTACCATCCACAGATAATTTTATTCGTAAGAACCTCGACATGCCTGAAACTTCTTGGTTTCCAGTAAGAGGGCTAAAACGTTTTAAGTTATCTTGTAACAGCTTAGGTTGGTTGGTTAAGAGTTGACCCCAAACAACCAAGCATATGCCAAAACAGTATTGTTCAAGTATTCATTCACTTCCTTGTTTTGTATAAGCGTTATATTCCCTATTATCTTATATTGAATGTTGAGAGCCTTTGTTTGTCTGAACAGATAATCCCACGCTCCACTGTGACCGCGCTAAGATCGAAATAAAGACCTATTCACTACTTCTCTGGTTTCTTCTATCAATAGCACGAGGGTTACTTTAAGGCACGAAAATCTATTGACTTCATAGAGCTTGGACAGTGAACTCAATGTGTCAGTTGCCCTTCTAGACATCAAAATATCTTGAATTTAGTCTTTACCAGCAACTGTATCCCCAGTGCTGTGTATCTTGGAGGGACCTTTCCAGGTAAAGACCGTAATATTGTCACCTTCAGTCGTGATATAAGAAGGACAACAAGTAAATATTCGAATATCACACTTCGTAGAAACTATCGCAAGGTTGATTATATAGATCATTGACGTAAATGATCTATGTTGGAAGACTGAGGGCCTACTCGGATAGACGGAAATGGTGTGACCGAACAGCCGACGTCGAAGCCACACCTTATGATTAGTGCTTAACGTGGATAATCCTTCCGTCGTAACCAGGTATTAAGGCCCCCTCGGTAACTATACAGCATAAACGACGTCATTACAGAAATATATTAGTAAGAGCAGGTACAAGGAACAGCGACCACTGCTACATGAAGCAATTCATGGCGTGCAATTAACTAATGCCCACTGGTTATCCTTGGCCTTGATGAGAATCAGTCGGCTGTTCGAGATGCAGCAACCCGACTGTCGTGCGATTCGGCTAGAGCCAGAGGACGATTCGCTGACCTTCCAAAACTGCCTAAGCACCATTTTTACCCTAAACACTACCGACTAAATAACATTCCATCACAACATCGGTAATATCTATGAAAAAACAGAATCTTTAAAATACTGAAGATCTGGGGTTTCTGAAGATCCGTAAACACCTGTCCATATACAGAGATACCTTCGCAGGCATTACACCCAATTCCACAACCTTAACCACTTTTCTCCTTTGGCTACGACAACAGAAATATTTTTCAAGTCAGAGGCAGTATGTACACAAAAGACAGCTGCGCAGGAAAAAAATGTGCTTTCGAACCTAATAGGAACTCCTCTGAACTCATTAAACTCCTTCAAAATTGACTTAAATGTTCTAAATCAAGAGGAAGAAGCATATTTGTTAAGAACAATCAATTATAAGAAGATTCTGGACTTATAATGAAACCAATCAGAAAGTAATTTCGTTATTGATTGAACAAAGAAAAACCACCTAATAGGTCAGAGCCCACCCTGATACCTTCCTACGAAGTCACTAGTGTAGACTTTAATGTACAGAATATTTCTAAAAAAATAAGCACACAAACACTCCTACAATAAAGGACCGAATGGCACTCCAGATAACATGTGTTGTGACAGGCGGTGTCCAAAATATAATACTGATACACTGTATACTATGCGCCACACCGTTAAACTGACTGCTTGAGCGAGAACGTGTACTGGATTACTGAGTAAAATTTACGAATACTCAGTAATATATATACCATTTCAATCCTTAGGAAATTGACCCATTTCTTGACCAATGAATTGCACCTGTCCTCTAGGTCACTTCTGATTGGCTCCCCATATCATCACTTTAAAAGTTGAAAGTGATGATCAGTGTGTTATACTTCTTGAACCATCTGCGATATCACTCTCTATATCATGTTACCCTACTACCTAGGAAACTACATATATCATTCCCAAAATTAACTAAGGACCTGCAGCAAATTTTGAAATGATCGACTTATAAACGTGATCACAGTAGTATCTTGAGTGGTAGAGAACGTAGTTAGTGTGACGGTAATCCAACATCTACTGGTTTATAACCTCATATAAGTCTTCTAGTATGAATTTCTGAGGTTCAGCTGATGCAATAATTGCCTGGTGGACTATCTATATGACATACCTGTAAAATGAGACGAAGAACTCCTTGTATTAGCTATATTCTTAGACTTTAAGGAAGCTTTTGATAAGGTTTCACATGAAAGGCTTTTCATATATCAAAGTCCTTAGAAATCAATAACCTACTGCATCCGTAGTTTGCTTCATATCTTGACGAACGTAAACAAATAGTAAAGTACAGTGACTCGCTCTCATCACCAAAACCGATGATTAGTGGAGTTATCTAAGGTATTGTATTACGTCCATCCTTGTTTCTCATGTATATAAACTATATGTGCAAAATCATAAGATTTGGTAGACCATACTTATACGCCGATGACATCAAAATATTATACAGCCTTAAGCCCGAAGCTTTAAGTTAAAGTATATCCCATATTCAAAGTGATCCCAATAACATTTCTATCTGGAGTGAGAAATGACACTTACCATTTACGCACAACAAATGTGTGATCATCCGCTTTTGGAGACATTACCGGGAACTGTCTCGTTACTTAGATAAATGCATCATCCGGACACACAACCCAGGAAACAGTCTAAGTATTAATTACATAGGAAGCCTAGAATTCGAAGGACATACCTCGTCTACTACTTATAAGTCTAGACGGCCACTGGGTTT